CTGAACACAAAGGGCAGACAAGCAGAAGGGGATAGACAGATGGAAAGACAGGTGGGTTCCATCCTCTCAAGGCCCCAGGCTTCCCCAACCCAAACCACCTTTCACCCCTCTCACTGTCCCCCTGCTCCAGGCTGCTGCATCTGAAGACTCTCAGGATGTGACCTACGCCCAGCTGAACATCTCGACCCTCAGACGGGAGACAAGTGCACCCCCTTCCTCCCCACCAGAGCATCCCCCAGATGAGCCCAGTGTGTATGCTGCTCTGTCCTTCTACTAGCCCAGAGAGGACCCTGATCACACACTCCAGGGAGGGGGCCTGCAGGGACCCCAGAAGGCACAGCAGCTGCCCCATAAGGACACTCAGCAGGGCCTCAGCCAGCCTGGTGACCTGATATGCACCCCCAGCAGCTTCTGGGACCCTCTGGGAGTCCTCTGATGACACATTCATAGATAACTAATATCCATACACTTTGGAATCAAAGCAACAGACTTCTCAAGAATCAATGTGTGTGTCCCAGCTGGTGTGGTTCAGTGGATTGAGGGCCAGGCTGTGAACCAAAGGGTCGCCAGTTAGATTCCCAGTGAGGGCACATGCCTGGGTTGTGAGCCAGATCCCCAGTAGGGGGTGTGTGAGAGGCAACCACACACTGATGTTTCTCTCCCTCTCTTTCTCCTTCCCTTCTACTCTTTCAAAAAATAATAAATAAATAAAATATTTTTTTAATTTTTAAAAATGGATGCATGAATATATACTGGATGAATATCCCAAGCATGCAGGTGTCTGATTTCAGGAATGAATAGACAGTTTTAGAATCAAAAACTCAATACTGAAATTCAACATTAAAAGAAATTTTTTTTAAAAGATTACATCAACAAATGCAACACTTTTGTTAAATCCCTGCACCTATTTATAATCAAAACCTCTTCTGAAGTAAAAGGATATCATCTATCATTTATCAAAGCATCATTCAAATACTTTATAAATGAAATAGTGTTTAAGGTAAAAACTTGAAAACTTTTTGCCTGCAATTCAGCCTGGGGCAAAACTGTCACTGTGGAGTCTCGCCCCAGCACAGCCTCCACGCATCAGACATCTGCCCATTTCACCAGCCCAGCCCCATACCCCAGGCTTGTGGGGGAGAGGGGCTACCCCCCACACACAGCAGATGTGACACCCCCACCCCCACAGCCTTTTCCTTTGGGCCCACATTTCTTTTTTTTTAATCATTGTTCAGATACAGTTTTCTCCTTTTTATTCCCAATCCAGCCCCCCCCTTCTACCCCTCCCCACTTCCCTCCCATTACCCCCCTCCCCTTAGTTTTTGACCATGTGTCCTTTAAGTTTGTATTTCTTACCCTCCTACCCCCAAGACTGCACCGTGGAGAATCTCATCTGCATGGGCAGAGCCAGATTGGCCCTGGTGGTCCTCAGGGTGCCTCTGCTTCAGGCTCAAGACAGCGGGAGGAGGACCCACACTGCAGCCAGAACATGAACACAGAGGGGACAGGGAACTATTCAGAATGGGGGAGCCATGGAGTCCATCTGATGACCCAGGAGGTGGGGAAGGACAGCTGGACCACAGGTGGGGAAACTGTCTGCTGATGTGTCCAGGGGAGCAGACATGGCAGACGAGGTTTGGGGACAGGAAACATGAGCCGTGTTCCTGTGGAGACGCCTCCTCCTTCCTACTGTGGGGCTGTCCCTCCTCATCCTCACTGACTCCCCTTGACTGTCCCTCTGTTCTCACCACTGTGACCTGAGAGGCCGCCCCACATGGCCGGTTTGGGTTCACATCTACATACCCCCTTCATGCTGGATCCCACTCATATAAACAAACCTGGTGTCTTCATAACCCAGGAGGGTTTTTTAAGCCATAAAAGCAAAGTACCAACACCAGCAACAGAGTGAATGAATGTCAGCATTCTGTAGCTAAGTGACAGAAGCCACACAGACAAGATCACGTTTTCTGTGACCATGTTTGTATGAAGCATCCAGGAGGAGGAAACCCACAGAGACAGGAGTCAGGTGGGCTTGTCGGGGGCTGACAAGGAGGAGAGATGGGAGACTGAAAGCTTCATGGTATCTGGGGGCAGGGTTACACAAATCTGGAATTACGTAAAAGTTGTAGTTGACACTGTGTATGTATTACAGTATAGTGAATTCTATGTATTAAAAGGCTCAATTCTCTGTTACATGAATTTACATCATTAAAAAGAAATACAAGTCAATCACCATGGTTCCCTGTAGATCCTTATTAGCATAGAAGGGGCCCCACATCTGCAGGCAGTTTCATGGGAGGCGGGACTCCCACCAGGTCCAAGATGCCCTCAGTGCTCAGGCTCAGCCCCTGGTGGGAGTTCCACCCTCACTCCTGAGTGTGGTGAGTCCAGGATCCAGGATGACCAGCGTCCTTCCTGTCTCCTCTCAGTCTGGGCTCATCTGCTATCAACCAAGGATGCCCTGTAGCTTCTGATGCCCCCTGAAGGTTTGGGGGTAATACATACACTGCTTCTGAGTAGACCTTCCTCCCACAAGTCTCTCATGTCCATGTCTTAATCAGGCCCAGAAATGACACAGATGGAACCTCTTCATGTCTCAGGCTCTGCTGATCCTCACAACGCCCGTGAGAGCTGAGCTTCCACCTTGTCTGCAATGAGGGTAAAGGTAGAGGGGAAGGGACTGGCTCAGAGTAGATGGTCAATAATGTTTCCCCTTGTCTTAGATTAAAACCTGTGAATTGTCTGCAACTGGTGCTTCTGCCCAGCACATGGAGATGGAGTGACCAGTGTCAGATGCAGGGTTACCCCTCACAGAGCAGGGCAGTGAGGAGGCAGACATGCTCAGGGGCCTGGATGGGAGGGATAGAGAGAAGGTCTCCTGCTCACAGAGATGAGGAAGTCAGAGAGAGGAAGTGGGAGGGAGAGACAAATTCACACACTCAGCCAGGAAGGCTAGTGGCTCTCTCTGTGTTGTAATCCTCTCCCCACCCCCAGACCCCTCACTGGGGTGGTCAGTCCTGGCACAGCCCCAGTGTCTCCCCAGGCCACCCAGGCAGAGATCAGACAAACCCTAAGCTCTTCCCTCTCTTCCCCCCACACAATGAACACACCCACAGCTCTGACCCTGAGCCCCTCTTTCTGTGACCCAGTTCCCCTCCACAGTCACACTCACATGAAGACCCAGGACATCGTGGGGGTGAGACCCCGTTAGCCTCCTCTCTGGCCTCCTGTGGACCCTCACTCCCAGTTGAGGGGTTTTACTCCCATGCACCTGAACTCACCTGTCACAGACCAGCACCTGCACAAAGCCTTTCTAGAGGTCTCATCTTCATTTACACTCATATTTTCCTATTGACTCTCTTTCACTGCATGTGACAGTCCCCAGGATCAATAGACAGTGTCCATAGCACTATCTGTCATCATTAGGACGTCTCCACTGTCCACTCTTGTAGGAGTCTCTCCTCACACACCTCGTCTCCCTCAGTTTCTCAGGGGTTATCCTGGGAGTCAGGCTGACCAGGGGCTATGGCAGCTGCCCCTGCCCCATGCCATCCACTCTCTCAGGCTCAGCATCTGCTCAGCATTCTGCCCACCAGGGCTAATCCAATGGGAGACACACACACACACACACACACACACACACACACACACACGACAGACACCCATGACTGACATATTGGACTCAGTCTGTTTCAGGACACACAGGGAGACTGCTCACTGCTGACCATGAACTTGGGTGAGTGGGCAGAAACATCCCAGAGCCTGCACAGAAACATAGGGCAAGAACCACACTTTCAGCCTTCACCTGCTCCCTAACCCCCTTCCTGTGAGGTCCTGGGGTCCCTCTCTGTCCACTCAAGGGGGAATTTCCTCCTTATGACTCGTGGATGGTCCCAGTCACCTGGACCATCAGTTTCAGTGTCTGTTCTCCACTGTGGTTCCCTCTCCATTTGGGGAACTTTCATTTCTCTTTCCTGCATGTGTCTGTGCCTACATACTTTAGAGCTGTTTTGAGTAGCTGGGCTTGGTATTAAGAGAAAACAAGGTCTCAAGTGGGTGCTACAATCTTGCCCTTGACCCTGGACACCTTGATCCTCTCATGTCCCAGCCCACTCATGACCTCATCTGGTCTGGAAATGGAAGTCTCCCTCCCATGAACCAACACCACTGACCCACAGCCACCGTGGGGACGAGAGTTCATGACAACAGGATCCAGATGAGGAAACTGAGGCAGAAACTGGACATTATCACTCAAGGATACAAGGACATTGGATGATGAGTATTTATGTAAATACCTTCTTTAAGTGAAAATCAGAATTCTGGCCCAAGTCAATGTTGCTTAAATTTTGAAGGCAGGACCACAGCACAAGGAGGAGGCTTGAAGCAGGAAACAAGGGGCACTGAGGGGGCAGGAATCACTCAGAGGCTAGTCCCCAGGAAGGTGTGTGGACACTGTTGCTAAGAAAAAACAAGAAGTTGGTGATGGTAGCTATGATAGAATGAAAATCACACTCTGGGCCAGGGGAAGGCACATGTCCCTATTCTGTTTCCCCTTTGTGCTCATTGTCACAGTGACACTCGCCTGAACTGCACAGTGAAGAGGAGACCATGTCTCTGCTGAGCTGAGCTCTGCAGGCACAGGGACCCCTGTCTTTCTGGCATGTCTTTAGGGCCTGGTGGACTACTGTCCATGGGGAGGACCCACCGTGAGGGGCTAATAGTCAGGCTGAGGGGGAAGGGGCCCTCATGACAGAGGACCTGGAAGGCTGTGCCCTGGGTCAACTCACCTGCAAGGGGTGTCATCAGGGGCTTCGGGTCTATTTCTCCCTCCATTACAGGAATGAGAGCCGGACTCCTGAGGATACACTGTCCCCCTTCCTGAGGGACTGGTGATGTAACAACCCCGTGACAGGGACAGCCAGCCTCCCAGTGGCCACACCCTGTGAGTCTGTCTATACTGAGGACTCCTTGGTCTCTTCCTTCTGCACAGCTGGGTTCAGAGGAGACACCATGCCCCCCAGCCTCACGGCCCTGCTCTGCTTCGGTGAGATGTGAGGGGGGAGGGGAAGCCCTGCTCTGTCAGGACCCCAGGACTCAGGAGGCTCCCAGGGAAGAGGGTTCTGCTCAGGACTCAGGGCAAATCGCTCACAGGGACTTTCTTGCAGGGCTGAGCGTGGGCCTGAGGACCCCAGTGCAGGCAGGTGAGTCTGTCCCCAGAGGTCCCATGTCCCTCTCTGCATAAAGAACAAGGGGCCTCCCCATGAGGAAGCTGGGGATAAAGAACATAAGTTCTGGGTTAATGGATGCGGTATGTCAGGGAAGGTCTTGGGTCTGAGATCTGGGGACTGGGGGTGGAAGTGTCTTCTGACCCAGCCTCTGATTCCTTCTAGGGACCCTCCCCAAACCCACCCTCTGGGCTAAGCCAGGCCCTGTGATCCCCTGGGGGAGCTCAGTGACCATCTGGTGTCAGGGGGCCCTGGAGTGCCGTCTGTATAAAGAAGGAATCCCAGTATCCTGGGACATACAGATGCCACTGGAGCCCAGGAAAAATGTCAAGTTCTCCATCACATACATGACAGAGCACACTGCAGGGAGATATCAGTGTACCTATCTCGGGCCCACTGGCTGGTTAGAGTGTGATGACCCCCTGGAGCTGGTGGTGACAGGTGAGAGGACCCTCAGGGGTCTCAGCCTCAGGCTCTGCCCTCAGGAAGGGGATATTCTCAAGGGGTCTCCCGCTCACAGCCCAGCCCTGGGGGACATGGGTAAGGTGTGACCCCATTTAACATGCTGCCTCCTCTCCTAGGATACTACTACAGCAAACCCAGCCTCTCAGCCCTGCCCAGCCCTCTTGTGACCTCTGGAGGGAATGTGACCCTCCAGTGTGGCTCGCAGCAAAGATTTGACAGGTTTATTCTGACTAAGGAAGGGGAACACAGGCTCTCCTGGACCCTGGACTCACAGCAACACGCCAGTGGGCAGGTCCAGGCCCTGTTTCCTCTGAGCACCATGATCCCCAGACGGAGCGGGACTTTCAGATGCTATGGCTGTTACAGGAACAGACCCCAGGTGTGTTCACAGCCCAGTGATGCCCTGGAACTCCTGGTCTCAGGTGAGTCCCATTCTGGTCCCATCCATGAACTGAGGTGCCAGACAGGTTACTGGGGTCTTTGCTGAGAGGGGAGCCCCATGTGGGAGGTGGGGTGAGGGGAGCACAGGGGCTCCTGGGCCAGAGACACAGAGAGAGAGAGACAGTGGGTCCTGGGGACCAGGCGAGGAGGAGGGTTCATGGGAGGAGCAGCCCCTGTCACTCCTGTCTCGTCCCTGCAGGTAGCTCAGGGAAGCCCTCCCTCCTGACCCAGCAGGGCCCCATCGTGGCTTATGGACAGAGCCTGACCCTCCAGTGTTGCTCTGACATCGGCTATGACAGATTTGCTCTGTCCAAGGAGTGGGGAGAGGGCCTTCCCCAGAGCTCTGTCCTGCAGGCCCAGGCTGGGCTCTCTCAGGCCGACTTCCCCCTGGGCACTGTGAATGTCTTCCATGGGGGCCGGTACAGGTGCTATGGTGGACACAACCTCTCCTCTGAGTGGTCGGCCCCCAGTGACCCCCTGGACATCCTGGTGGCAGGTGAGGAGCCAGTGGGTTCAGTCTGGGGCCCAGAGTCTGCTCAGGCCCTGCTGGGGGTCTCAGGTGGTGATGGCCAAGACAATGGTTGTAGGGTCCCCAGGGAGAGAAAGAAACACAGAGACAAGGGATCAGAGGGGAGTGGGAGACACAGAGAAAACAGAGACAGAGAGGAGGGTCTTCAGAAAAGAACCTGGTGACTCTCAGGTCAGAAGTGAGTGGCAGCCCCTCACCTGCCCCCTTCTTTCTAGGATGGCTCCGTGACAGACCCTCCCTCTCAATGCAGCCAGGACCCACAGTGGTCTCAGGAGAGAACGTGACCCTGCTGTGTCAGTCACAGAGCTGGAGGGACAGTTTCCTTCTGGCCAAGGAGGGAGAAGCCCATCCCCCCCTGCATCTCAGATCACAGTCCCAAGCTCAGCAGCAGCAGGCAGAGTTCTCCATGGGTCCTGTGACCTCAGCCCATGGGGGCACCTACAGGTGCTACAGTTCACTCAACACCTTCCCTTACCTGCTGTCACAGCCCAGTGCCCCCCTGGAGCTCCTGATCTCAGGTAAGGCCTCTGTCTTACTGAACTGTTAGCTCAGGTCCTGGTCACCAGAGGAATTATGGGCTGGAAGAGGAGGGAGAGGGCTCTAAGGATGGCCACCCAGCAGAGATCTGCCCCTCAGAGACCCTGCTACATCTGCCCACCCTGCCCCCACCTGGTCCAGAAGGTGCCAGGTGGGCAATGAGAGGATCTTAGAAGTCACAGCACAGATGTAGGAGGAGTCTGGGTGAAGTGGGGACCCCAGGGTCAGCCCACACCTTCAACCCCTTCTGTGTTCCTTCCCAGGACCCTCTGGAAACCCCAGCCCCCCACCCACAGGGCCCACCTCCACCTCTGGTGAGTCACCGGGCCCCTTTCACTCAGAGGGGGCACAGACCAGCCCAGGGCAGTTCTGAGTCTCTCAGAGGATCTCAAGTCACCACAAATACTCAAGGACAGGGGCAGGGGAAAGTCCGGGGGGTGGGGGCAAGTCAGGGAGAGATTTCAGGGAACTCATGAGGTTTTAGGAGGTCTGAGGATTCACCCCTCCCCCACCATGGTGTCAGGCCTGTACACGGGTGAGTGAGGCTGGTGATGGAGGGGTGATCATGAATAAAGGAGATGTTGGGGCTCGTTCTGGGGGAGAAGCCAGGCTCAAGAGGGGAGAAGGCAGACCCCACCCCTCACCCCCATCCTGAGTTTCCAGAAGTCTCTGAGGATCTGCCCCTTGGCCCCACGGAGTCAGGACCACAGAGCAGTAAGTGAGGGTCTCTGTGGGGAGGTGGTGGGTGTGTCCAGGGGGACAGGGGCTGAGTCCTGTGCAAGTTCAGGCTCTTCTGGAGGCTCTGACTTGGACAGACCCTTCCCCTCTCTGTACCTCAGTGTCTCCAAGTGTAAAAGGGGAGAATCATGGCCCAGAGCTTAGATTGCCTTTCAGTTCTGGCTCTGACCTCCTGGGAGGGGGCCTCACAGGAAAGCCACCAAGGACATGATGTTATGGGAACTGTCCCCTCTGTAGCAGGGATGGTGACACTGTACAGGGAGGGACAGACAGGACAAGATCTGGGAACATAAGTTCTTTCTATCAGCTCAGACTCAGCTCAGAGGAGCGAACAAGAGCTGGAGTGAGACCTGGTTCAGGTCCCAGCTCTGCTGCTCCTGCTGTGGGGCCCAGAATCCATTCTCTTCTCTGAAAGTTGGGTTCATGTCTGTTCACCCTAGGTCCCCTCCTGCTCATAGGCCTGCAGTGACATTAGTGACATAAGGAACCTCACCAAGCTCAGGAAGGCAGAGCCCCAGCCCAGCCCCACCATTTGAAGGGGCCATCAGGGTTCACCGCATACCCCTGCCCCTGCTGTGTCCCTGCTGTGCTGGGGGCAGGTAATAAGGAAGGACCCTCAGCTCCAGGTGAGACAGGACAGACCTCTGCAGATGAGGAGCTCAGAGCTCAGAGCTGGTGTCCACTTGGGGCAGCAGGAGGACAGCACAGGGAACACAAGTTCCCATGTAAAGTCCCAGCCCTGCCCTGGCTAGGCTGGGTGACCTGGGGCAGGTGCTAACCTCTCTGAGCCACAGTGGACGGATCAGTGGGTCAGCCATCCCTGGTATATAAGGGCTATGAGGTTAGAGAAGATGAACAATAGACCCCAGCATGTGCCTCACACACAGTAGGTACTCATTAAATGGCACCTTTGGCTCATTCATGATGTCACTCCAGCCCAAGGTCTCCAGTGGAACTGGAACATGCTGATCGGGGTCTTGGTGGCCCTTGTCCTACTGCTCTCCCTCCTCCTCTTCTTCTTCCTCCGACACTGGTGTCAGAGCAAAGGCGGGACATCAGGTGAGTAGGGAATGGGGTGACCTGGGTCACAGGAGAGAGGGGCTCAGAGCACCTGCTGCAGGAAAAACAAATAGATGGAGAAGGTCATCTGAGAAACAGATTTCTCCAGAATCTCTCATCAGAAAATCTATGAAGAAAACACTCAACTGCAGCAGAGATGTGCAAATGTAAGGTAATCTTTCATTGTTTTCGATCTCCTAAAACATGAAACATACACACAAGTGTGTTAAGGTTTCCTTCTTTCCTCTGGAATCACACAGTGGGTGGGTGGTCCCAACTCTCCCAATGCTAAGACTGTCCCTCTTCACCAGCCCAGAGAAAGGCTGATATCTGACCTCCTGCAGGGGCCACAGAGCTGGATTCCAAGGACAGAGGCCTACAGACCAGGTAATTCCTGCCCCGAAGACCCGACTCCTGTCCACACAGGACGTGCCCTGTCCCTAACTCCCCTGTCTCCTCCCCCAGATCCAACCCAGCTGTGGACAACCAGGAAGAGCCCCTCTGTGAGAGGAAGGGACAGCTGTCTGGGGAGGGGGCACAAGGACTTCAGGAAGCAATGGGGGAGGGGACAGCCTGGGAGGCTGTGGGGTCAGGGTTGAGAGGGACTGAAATCCACACAGCCTGACCTGGCCCTTCACCTCACCCCTGGGTTAGTGACCCAACTGGGAGTTGGCGGGTCTGCAGCCCTGAGATCTCAGGGACCCTGCCAGGAGAAACACCTTGTTCTGCCCTAGCAGATGCTGCCATGAAGGACCCACAGCCTGGGGAGGGCATGGAACTGCACCCTTGGGTGAGACTCCTGCTGCTGTACAGGCCACCAAGGACCTTTCTGCCCAGTTTACTCCAGTGGTCACTCCCTGTCCTCACTTCCCCTGGTTCTCAGCAGCATCTACACTGACCTCTCCTTCTGGGCACCAGGTCATCCTGGTGTGACTCATTCCTCCAGCTCTCTTATGTCCTCATGACCCCTCATGGGTAGTCCTCTCCGCTAGCCCTTCACCCTCTATCTGAACTTGTGTAGCCCCAGGTCTCAGGAGGAGGAATGAATGAGTGAACCACCTGCACGTCCCAGGGTCTTGTCACTCACTCACTCAGCAGCTGTGATGGGAGATCACTGGTTACCAGCTCCATGTTGGTGCCACAGTGCAGCCCTGAGCAGCCTGTCCCCACACTCCTCCAGCTCCCCCGTGGGTGAGGGAGACACCTGCAAACAGGCAGATGGTGTCCTGAGAGCCAAGTGCTATGAAGGAGAATGAAGCAAGAGCAGGGGGAGGAGTGTGTGGTGAGGGGAGAGAATAGAGAAAACAGCATGTGCAAAGGTCCTGAGGTAGGGCCTGCTGCTTCAGCCAGATGGGCCCTGTGGCTGGAGCTGAATGAGCAACAGACAGAGCGTTAGGTTAAGAGTCAGACCCGTAAAAGCACCAGGAGCCCCAAGGCTGAGGGAGTCCCTGTAGGCTCCATCAGGAGACTGACCCCATCTGATCTGAAGTTTAAGTCGTCACTCTGACACTGTGTGGACACATGACTGGAGGGTTTCAACTGTGGGGTCAAGGACACGCTGGTTTTGTCTCACTGTCTCTCTGCAGCAGAACAGGACCCATGACGACCCCCAGGGAGAGACCTATGCCCAGGTAACCAGCTCAAGATCAAGGCTCAGGCAGGGAATGGCCCCCTCATCTTCCCCCCTGTCAGAGGAATTGCTGGGCATGAAGGACAAACAAGCAGAAGAGGACAGACAGATGGACAGTCAGGTGGGTCCCACCCTCTCCAGACCCCAGGCTTCCCCAACCCCAACCACCTTTCACCCCTCTCACTGTCCCCCTGCTCCAGGCTGCTGCCTCTGCTGCCCCCCAGGATGTGACCTACGCCCAGCTGACCCACTTGGGCATCAGATGGGAGACAAGTGCACCCCCTTCCTCCCCATCAGAGCAGCCCCCAGATGAGCCCAGTGTGTATGCTGCTCTAGCCATCCAGTAGCCCTGGAAGGACCCCAACCCTGCACTCCAGGGAGGGGGCCTGCATTGGCCCCAGAAGATACAGAAGCTGCCCCCAGGGGCACTTACTAGGGGCCTCAGCCAGCCCAGAGACCTGATGTGGGCCCCCAGTACCTCCGGGGTCTCTCTGGGAATCCCCTGTTCCTATAGTCACAGATAACCAATATTCCTACATTTTAGAATAAAAACAAAACAGACATCTCAAAAATCAATGTATAAATTTAAAACCAAAAGAAAAGTGGGATGACATATAGAGATCATGTATCATAGAAATGTACACTTGAAAAACCTGTAACAGCCCTGGCTGGTGTGGCTCAGTGGATTGAGTGCTGGCCTACAGAGCAAAAGGTTGCTGGTTCGATTCCCAGTCAGGGCACATGCCTGGGTTGCAGGCTAGGTCCCTAGTTGGGGGCACATGAATGGCAACCACATATTGATGTTTCTCTCCCTCTCTTTCTCCCTCCCTTCCCCTCTCTCTAAAAATAAATAAATAAGATTTTTAAAAACAAGAAAAAAGCCTGTAACAACCTTATTAATCATTGTCAGCCCAATAAATTTAACTTTTAAAAATTTAAAAATCCCTAAAAAACAAAGAAAAAGAAAAAAGCCAAACTGAGAGAATACTTTAAGTGAATGATCATGCAAATATTACATAGCAGACCTATGAAATGGAAAACTAGGAACCATGAATGACTATATTAGAAAAAAAAAGGTAAATACATACAAACAACCTTAAGTGTCCTCCAGCGGATGACAGGATAAAGGTGTGGAAATACACACAATGGAATATTACTCAGCTGAGAAAGATGAACTACTGCCATTTGCAACAACTTGGATGGATCTGGAGAGCATCATGCTAAGTGAAATAAGACAGAAAAGGACAAGAAACATATGATTTTACTCTTATGGGGGTGAAATCTGAAACTCTGAACTGTCATACATATTAACTATATTGAATCTGTGATTAAAATTTTTACTGCAAAGTAAACTTGGAGACCAGAAAGCTTCACTACTAAATGCTCCTAAATACTTATGCATGTGTGAAGTACACACGCCCACAAATGTACACATGGACATACACACAAATATACATACACATACACAGACGTACACACATGGACACACACAGACATACAGAAAGTAACAAAAGAAGAAAACGAACACACTCATAGATTCAGAAATGAAAAAATGGTTACCAGAGGAGAAGGGGGTGGGAGAGGGCAAACAGGGTAAAGGGGGTAATAAAAGGAGACTAGACTTTGGGTGATGAGTACAGAATGAGTACGTAGATGGTGTATCATAAGATTGTACACTTGTAATTTATATAGTGTTACTAACCAATGCCACCTCAACATATTTAATTCTTTTTTACAGCTGCATAGTATTCCATTGTGTACATGTACCACAGCTCTTTCATCCACTCATCTGCTAAAGGGCACTTGGGCTGTTTCTGGGTCTTCACTATTATAAACAACACTGCTATGAACATAGGGGTGCATATATTCTTTCTGACTGGTGTTTCAGGATTCTTAGGATATATTCTCAGAAGTGGGATCAGTGTGTCAAAAGGCAGTTCCATTTTTCTTTTTTGGATGAAATTCCATACTGTTTTCCACAGTGGCTGCACCAGTCTGCATTCCCCACGAACAGTGCACTAGGGTTCCCTTTTCTCCACGTCCTCATCAGCCCTTATTGTTTGTTGATTTATTGATGGTAGCCTTTCTGAAAAGCATGAGGTGATATTTCATTTGCATCTCCAGTTATTAGTGAGGTGAATATTTTTTCATATGTCTATTGACCATCTATATGGCCTCTTGGGTCATTTGCCCATATTTTAATTGGAAGGTTTGTCTGCCCAGTGTTGGGTTGTATAAGTTCTTTACATATTTTGGAAATTAACCCCTTATCAGATGTATCATTGGCACACATGTTGTCACCTCAGACCTGGAAACAGGCCCTGGTTGGGTAGCTCACTTGGGTAGAGCATCATCCTGATATGTGAAGGTTGTCAGTTCGATCCCCAGTCAAGGCACATACAAGGATCAACCAATGCATAAGTAAAACAAATCAATCTCTCTCTCTCGTCCACCCTTCCTCTCTCTCAAATTAACAAATAAATTTTGAAAAAACATCTGGAAACAGCCCAAGTGCCCATCAGTAGATGAGTAGATTAAAAAAAGTGGTACATTTATACAAAGGAATACTACATGGCTGTAAAAAAGAAAGGACTCTTAAAACTTCTGCAACAGCATGGATGGACCTGGAGATTATTATGCTAAGCAAAATAAAGACAGGGAAAGACAAATACCATATGATCTCACTCATCTGTGGACTCTAATGAAGCAAATACACTGATGGACAAAGTAGAACCAGAGGTATAGATACATTTAAGAGATTGACAGATGCCACAGGGAGGGAGTGTGGGGGACTGGATGAAAGAAGGTGAAGGGATTAGCCAAAGAACACACAGGTATACCCCATAGACATAGACAGCAGTGTGGTGATGGCCAGAGGGAAGGGAGGACAGGGGCTTGGCAGAGGTGGGCCAACAGGGAGAAAATTGAGAGCATCTGTAATAGCGTCAACAATAAAAATAAAGCTAAAAACTTAAAAAATAAAAAAAATAAAAACCTCATCTCATTTTTAAAAAGAGAGAAAGCCTTTTAAAAATCAATGACCTAAGTTACTATATATCAAAAGTTTAGTAAAAGGCCCTGGCTGGTGTGGCTCAGTGGATTGAGCGCTGGCCTGTGAACCAAAGGATCACTGGTTCAATTCCTAGTCAGGGCACATGCCTGGGTCGTGGGCCAGGTCCCCAGCAGGGGGCACATGAAAGGCAACCACACATTGATGTTTCTCTCCCTCTCTTTCTTCCTGCCTTGCCCTCTCTCTAAAAATAAATAAATAAAATCTAAAAAAAAAAAAAAAAAAGAAAAGAAAAGAAAGCAAGCCTCAGTAAAGACATAGAAAGAAAAACAATGGAAA